GTTCGCTCTCATCTTGCATTTCGTGTTCCACGTTCTGTGACTCAAATCTTTCGAAGTTGAAGCTCATCGCCTTTGCGTGCCCAAACTTCGGAACACCAGTCCAGTTGGGTCTATTTCGTGTCTTCGTTTGTTCTTGACTATTTTTGTCGATATTCAGGAAAAAGACCAAGATTGCACCCGGTGTGATTCAAATTTCGTCCAAGTCTCGCTTAAGTACCTGGTCCAAACCATACATCAAGCCGAGAAGTAAATCATTTGTTCATGACAGTAAAGACGACTTTTCCCTCGCTTCCTTTCGCCGTACCAGACTTGGAAGTTTACCTACATCTTTCTCGGACTCGTGCCTTGCCAAGAGAGGACTAAATGACGAGGAAGAGTTTAACATTTCTAGTGCCAGTGCACCGCAGAGCTGTTCCAGCGGCTCGGGGAGTGAGGACGACGATAAAACGTCTGGAGAAACTGACCCTATGGATTATTATGACCCAGAGGTCAGTCTTGTTCTAAATTCTCAAAAAACACGCCGGCCAATGGGAGGACAAAAATATTATCTTAAATGGTAATCTACTCTGCATGGTGTTAAAAGTTTCACGCCTGAGGTCTGACAGCGAAGTTCTTTCTCCCTATCCCGTTTTTTTTTTTTTAAATCCTAGATAACCAGGTAACAGACTACTTTTATCATTTTAATCATTCCAATCTTACACAATGTTGTATCTCGGTAAGGCCAAAATGTATTCCGACTGTAACTTTATCTCCTGCTTTCAAGCGATGGAAACAAACTGAAAAATTAGAAATACTGGCGTGTATGCTCTTGATGCATGATTAACCAAATATGTCGTAGCAAAACCAAAAGAAAAAAGGGAAATAAAAAAAAGCATAGTAATTTAACTCTTTTACTTACAGGCTGACGGTTCCTCTCAGAAGGAAGTTGCTGACCCGAAAATCAAAAGTGAGGTCGCTGAAAGTGAAGCGTCGATATCGCCGGCGAGTGAAAACGGAAGTTACCAAACAGAAAATGAAGACGAAGACGCATCGGCCAAAGGGGAAAGATGTGAAACAGAGGTCTTGAATAATGAAGACAAATCATTAACGGAAGCCACGTTTGTTGTTGGTGACGACACAAAGAACGAAGAAGAAGAAGAGATAGAAGAAGTAGAAGAAGAAGAAGCGCAGAGAGGTGTAAGGCCAAATAGTCAAGGTGAAGAAGGAGGAAGCGTCTTCACAGAGAATCCTTTAGCAGGATTTGACGGTATCGTTGAGGAAGGAGCGAAAAGTGAGGGGTTTCACCTGACAGATGTGAAAGGAAATGATTTGACTGGTTTAGAAAGGGAGGAAATAATCGGTATAAAAGATCAGCTTGATCCAATTGAACAAGGTGAAATTACGAACGGTTATGTATCACAGGCCAATGATGAAGAGAATGACGATGCTAATGCATCAGCAGTGATAAGTGAAGGAAGTCATCCTTTGCAGGAGAAGGAATATGAATCACTTGGACCGAGAACAAAGGAAATAGCGAGTAGCAAGAACCAATTGATTCAAAATGAGCCAAGTAAACAAACAAATGAATCTGAAGATAAGGGAGAAGACTTTGTAGAACATGTCAACAGCTCCAAGAAAAGCATCATTGGGCGAGAAGACGTGACTGAGTTAAAACAGGCTAATGGAGAGGTCCAAGCGGAAGGGTGCGAAGCTAACATTGAAGGACTCCAAGTCAGCTACCACGGCTCGGGGTCTCAGTTAAAATTCGGCCATAGCCACTCCAGCGTGGAGTTGGGAAGGATGGCGTCCACCGAAGGAGAGAGTAATGGTGAAAAGAGCCCGGAACGAAGGCGCATCGGGGCTCGGTTTCGGAATATTTCAGTTGGAAACCGCGTTCCGAAAATGAACATATTCGCCACTGCGCAGGCGCGAGGGCGGACTCTAATTCCTGAGCTGCGGAACAAGTTGTCGTCGTTTTCTCAGCAGGTTCGCTCACGGTCACCGCGGCTAAACCCCAAGCCCCGACAGAGCTCAGACAGTGAATCGAATAGTAATAAAAAACAAACAAGAAAGAAATGCCGCACTCGAATTATTGAATTATGATGTCAAGCGTAGCTTTTAATGGGCATATTTTAATTGATAGAATTTTCATAATATTCATTCCAAAAGGCACTGACGAAAGACCACAAATTATAAGATCTTGAATTGATACTCAAATTTTAACAACAATAATTTGCACATTCAGGGTAATTTTATCATGAAAATAGCATATTGCAAATACAATGTTTTTCAATTGCTACAGTCTATAGTTTTTGTTTGTACAGAAATTTAATTTTTACCCTCATGCAACAGCGTCCTTGAATGAAGTTAGCTTGACCATAGTTAAGATGATTCGTTGAAACATTGGATAGCTATTTAATTGCTGCAGTCGATTTTATTTTGCCTCCTTGTATGATAGTAACTGATATTGTACAATGTTAATGGTGGACATAAGAATTTAGTGGCTTTAACAGCGAGCTTTTATAGATTTTAGGAAATGATTCCAAAAGGTTGAATTTTTAATTGTAAAATATAAAAATTGCTTTTAAATAAAATTTGCGTTGGCATATAATTGTTTTAAATTTAGGGTAACTTCTGAAATTTTTTTTCGGGTAATTATTTTTCCTAAATAAGGTTAAATTCGAAAGGTTTCATTTATCATAATTTGAAATAATTAGCTATGTTTTACATTGTTTAAATTCACCTAGCAATTTTTCTTTTTAGTTGAAGATTATGTTAAAAAATTGCTGGTAGCATCTACATCTAGTTGAGAATCAAATAGATTTTTTTTCTTTGAAAGAAAATAGCTGCTGCTCTTTGTTACCAGAAAATAGGTTCCTAATAACAACACACTTAAGTTGCTGAACTGCGCTGGCGAAATAAAATTGAATAGAAAGCAACGCTGTTAAACGTAAAGGGGAAAATAAAATGTACAGGAACCTTTTTCACAAGATATTGTGCGTCTCTACTTCGTTCTCACGATATAATCTAATCATGAGCCTAAGAAGAGCGCTTCCGCCATATGCCCGCTGAACGCAGATGATGCTGTGGCATTGGTTTGCATCTACAGTCGTGGTGTCCAGCGGATATCTTCAGGAGAACTCTGCGGAGGAGAAAGTCGTAGTAGGTACAATTATAGAGGCCTTCCCTAGGGGTTGTGTAAAGCGTTAGAAAGAAGAATGCTCATGTGCGAAAACCTCAAGCACAAGACGTTGTCACAGGAATATGTCACGGACGTAGATTTTGCCAGTTGTACCCACAATTTGTCTCGGAGATACCTTTGAGAGCACTGTAAAAACAATGTTATTTGCAACAGTTTGGTATCCGCAGTTATGGCACCCAAGCCCGTGATATCGATAAACATCTTGCCTGCAGAACCCAGATGAACAAACGTAATAAGTGAACCATCTCATAGCTTCCCCTCCTGCTAATCCTTGAATCATTAATAAATGCCTGGAGCTTTTGAGAACTTTAGATAATTTTGTTTATTGAAGTCCTTCTTGTAAAAATTAGTAAAGATTTGCAGCCAACGGAATACACAGATAGAAATGCAATTTTCCAATGGAGAGGAGTGTGTCTTATTTTAGTTTACAATCGGCAAAGTAGCTAAGGGTAGAATCCCTGCTTCTGCGCTCGAGCTATAAAAGCAACTGGTGCTGTTTGTTTGAATTGATGAAGTTCAATCCTCATCCTATTCAATCATCTATGTGCGATTTTTGTCTCTAAACGTTTTGATAATGTTCCAGGGACTACCATAGTTGCGTGACCCAGGAAGCCCGAGATAAGGGGATGAGAAAACCTTTATCGCTTGAAGTGCATTTAACGAAAACAAAAATGCTTTTAGCGTTTACTATCTTTCTTCTTGAGTGAGTTAATGATTTTGGAAAAACTAAGTATGCCCTTGAAATGTGAGACTATATTTACGCGTTCTGATGACAACAGTTGCTGTCTGCATTAACAAAAAATATTCCTGTTTTGTTTCGTGTGAGAAGACGTTGAACCTAATGTTTAAACTTTTTTGTAATTGTTATTATTAGCATTATTATTATTATTTAGTGCCATGAGGTATAAAGATTTTCTTACTTTTACTTCATCTGAGCCCGCAATCCATTACTAGGTAACAGCACAATATCATCATTAAATGCACGGAGACCAACACGAGATACCCTTTTGAAGCAAATTTTGCCGATGACTATACAAACTAAGCAAACAAAAGTGAATGAGGCGACTCCTCGTATTAGTATATGGAGACAATTGTAACTTATTATTCGTCTTATTCCAGTACCGCGATTTTGCTTCTTTGCCAATAAAAGAAAATGAATTTATTACGGAAGAAAGTACAAGCTTAACTTGGCGCCAAATTCGCGGGAATTGATAAAGGGTAATCATTTAAGGCTTTCAAATGACGCTAGATTTGTAATCGGCGAAGATGCGTGTACCTTTGGATTTTCTGACTTTTTTGTTGATATTGCCGATCATGGAATTTTAATATTATTTCATACTTCCTGTAACGTAGATCGTTTATTCAAACCCCGAGAGTAATTTCGGATGATTTCGGCCTTTTCAAAGCGAGTATGCCATATTGGCACTTTGAAGAACAAATAGTTCCTTCAAATGAATAACAAACGTTAGTTTGGTTGTCTCGAGCTCGAATAGTGAGGTTTGACAACTGACAATGAAGGTTTTAATTATTTTCACCGTCAGTGTGTGCGAAATGTTTGCGACACATGCGTTAAACAATTCAAAAGTGAAAGCGCAAAAGGTCTGGAAAAGTGAACTGTTTGCTTAACCAGAAAAAACCATAACATAAACAAATATATCAAACGAAATTGCTTTATATCTTGGAGAAATCGTAATATTCCAATTTTAAGTTTGTATTCTCAAATTTCTTTTGAAATAATGGAAGATTTGTCGTCAAAACTTAAAAAGTGAAACAGCAACCGTACTTTTCGGTAATTGATAGCTTTCCAAACCGTGCAGATGTTAAATACATATTTCGGAGCGAAATTATTCATGTTTTTGACTAGGCGAGTGTTAAAGGGACAGCCATCAGAGGAAACACATGCGCCTTGAATTTATTGTCAGTAAAGCTCATCTAAGTCAACTAAGAGACAGTCGACAGAGTACAAGTAAATTTTGAAATATCTTTTGCTCTCTTTTGGTTTAATTTGTAGCATTTCGGATACAAAGCCTCAGAATTTGACATATGGGCTTTGAATTTGACAGGTTACCGAAATACTACTTGTCTCGCGAAAGCCTTCCTCCCGCAATCAATCAGCTGATCAAATACACTTAGTCTTCCATTAATTATTTCTGTTTATTTCCTGTTCGATAACCGTGTTTAAGGCCCTGCACGTCCGAAGAACTTCACAATGCGCCATTTGCGTCTCGTGTTACACTTCAAAGTGTGTGAAATGCTCGAAGAAAATTTTCCGCTTCTCTCTTGGTAAGACAAATCAAGTGGGAAAAAATGGATGAAGAGGTCAGCCTCGCATGTAACATTTCTTACAACAACTGCGCTAAAATTGATGATGAGAATAATATTTCAGAGCCCGATTTCAATCGTGGGTGTTGGAAGTCCTTCGTAGATCTTTGTTGGCCAGAGACTCCTGTTCAAGATGGCGCCACACTGTCCTTGATTATACCTCTCCTTCTGATTGCATCCGTGTCTATCGGGACGAATACGTTGGTGTGTGTTGTGTTCTACTTGTACAGTCAGCTCCGATTAATAAGACATTACTTTGTCATCAACCTGGCTGTCGTGGACGTTGTAATCGCTGCTGTTCTGATCCCCTTATTTGTTGCAAGTCAGTTAGCCCCGGAAAACATCATACTCTGTCGTTCCCAGATCGTTTTGGACATTGCGTGCGGTACGGCGTCCATTTTGTGCCTTGTCATGATCAGCCTGGAACGTTACGTGGCCGTGAAATATTCCTTGCATTACCATTCGATAGTCACTCAGCGTAAGGCCATTTTTGGCATGGTTTTTATCTGGACTTACTCAGCGATTGTCTCTTGCACCGCCTTCCTATCTTTGGTCAGAAATTCCAACAATAGCAAAAATCTGCTGCAGTGTTTTTTCTTAAGCCGCGGGTACGTGACCTTTATCACGATAGCGAGTTTCATTAGCCCAGTTTGTGTGATGACGTTTGCTTACTGGAACATGTTCATCGTTGCTCGCTCGCACGCGCGAAGAATTAACTCTCAATCGACGCAATGTGATCCCGAGGGATCGGGACACTCCAAACAAAGATTGAAGCGGGAACTTAAAGGAGCAAAGACTTTGACCATCATAATGGGCACCCACTTTCTCTGCTGGTGCCCGCTGTTTGTTTTTTATCTTGTTTACACGTACACGTCTTTACAGGTAACGAAGACATTTACAGTTATTAATCATGTTATTCTCTTTCTTCGATACTGTAATTCGCTCTTCAACCCTCTTATTTACAGTGGTATCA